CGACGGCGACGACTGGCCATCCTGCGCGTCCTCGACGAAGTCACAGTGCCACCGATGGCTGCCGAGCTCGGGATCGCCCTTCCACAGGCGCCCATCCTGAGAGGGGCCGCGCACCGACCCTCTTTCCCGTGGGGAGCCGACGAGATCCCAGGGGCGGCGCTGTGTTCCCTACCCCCCTTGGGAAGCCCGTCGTATCGACGATCTCTCGATAGGGGTGTCGAAGCCGATGGTCCTTTGGGGGGCGAAAACTCTCCAGCTCCCCCCAGCCGTGGCTGGTCTGACAAACATGGCGCACGGAGTGCACGAACACTGCCCCGTGCCAGGGGGGATTTGCACACCGCGCCTGTCCCAGAGGATCGTCGAGGACACCTGGGGAAACGGGAAAAAGGTGTCGGTAGGCAGCTCTCTGTCGCGGGGGGCGATCGAGCCACCGACCACCAGCCGCGCCAGCGACCGTGGACCGCAAATCGGGCGAGAGAGAGAGAGAGAGAGAACGAGCGGCGGCGGCGACGGCGACGGCGGCGACGGCGACGGCGGCGGCGGCGACGGCGATGGCAACGACGGCGGCGGCGGCGGCGGCGGGGACGGCAGCGACAACGGCGGCGGCGGCAGCGGCGCTGACGACGGCGGCTCCTCTGGGGACGACGCGGAGAAGCAGTCATCCGACTGCTGCGGGCCGCTCTCCCAGGGCAGCCGCAGCGGCCGCTCCGCCGCCCGCACGAGGTCCCAGGGCGCGCCGCGCGTTTCCTGCTGCTGCTGCTGCTGCTGCTGCTGCTGGTCGTCGCCGCCGTCATTGTCCTCGTCTTCGTCGTCGTCGGCGTCGTCACCACCACCGTCACCATGATGATCGTCAGCATCACCCTCCTCCTCCTCCTCCTCCTCCTCCTCCTCCTCCTCCTTCTCCTCCTCCTCCTCCTCCTCCTCCGCCTCCTCCTCATCTTCCAAAGCATCATGATCATGACCATAATACGTATCGTCCGCATCAGCATCATCATCATCATCATCATCATCATCATCATCATCATCAGCAGCATCAGCATCAGCACCAGCATCAGCATCAGCATCAGCATCATCATCATCACCATCATCATCGTCATCATCATCATCATCATCATCATAATCAACATCATCAGTATCGTCATCATCATCAGCATCATCATCATGATCAGAATCAGCATCAGCATCACCATCATCATCATCGTCATCATCATCATCATCAACATCAACATCATCAGCATCATCACCATCATCATCAGCATCATCGTAAGCATCACTCACCATCATCATCATCACCATCATCATCGCAATCAGCATCATCACCGTCATCATCATCATCATCATCATCATCATCATCATCATCAGCATCAACATCAGCATCAGCAGCATCATCAGCATCATCATCATTATCGTCGTCGTCGTCATCGTCATCGTCGTCGGCATCGCCATGGTCGTGGTCATCGTCATCGTCATCGTCATCCTCGTCCAAATCGTCATCCTCGCCATCCTCGTAATCCTCGTCATCCGCGTCCTCCTCGTCCTCATCGTCATCGTCGTAATCCTAAGCATGATCACCCTCATCATTATTACCAGAATCATAAGTCATGATTATCATCACACTCACCATCCTGCTCCCCATCATCCAGCATCATGACCATCATCATCATCACCAGCATCAGTATCATCATCATCATCATCGTCGTCGTCATCATCATCATCATCATCGTCATCATCATGATTATCTTCATCATCATGATCGTCGTCGTCGGCGTCGTCATCATCGTTATCGTCATCATCGGCATCATCGTCGTCATCGTCGTCATCGGCATCGTCATTGTCATCAGCATCATCCTCGTCGTCCTCGTCCTCATCGTCCTCATCGTCCTCATCGTCCTCATCGTCACCATCAGCACCGTCCTGTTTCTCATCATCATCAGCATCATCAGCACCATTCTATTATCCCAATTGTCATCAGAAGCATTAACATCATCAGTATCATTATCACCAGCATCATCATTATCGGTACCAATAACTTCGCCGTAATCATCGTCGTAATCATCAACATCGTCTTCATCATCATCATCAGCAGCATCATCGGCATCGTTAACATTATCAGAATCACCATCAACATCATCATCATCATCAACAACGTCATCAGCAGAATCATCATCACGGACGTCACCATCATCGTCATCACGAGTATCCGAATCATCACCGTCGTCCTGTTCATGCTCGTCCTCGTCGTCACGAGCGTCATCCTCCTCATCCTGGACATCACCATCCGCATGATCATCAGCATGAGCATCAGAATCGTCATCATCGTCATCATCAACACCACCACCACCACCATCGATGTCACCGGCAACATCGTCAGATTCAGTGTCAACATCATCGTTGTCATCGTCATCGGCATTGTCATCGGCATCGTCGTCATCATCGTCACCATCGTCATCGTCAACAACATCATCCTTCGGCTATCCCGCTCCGCATCCTACGCCTGATA